AACCAACTGAGCCACCCAGGTGCCCCCGTATGGATCATTTAAGTACAGTTGAGAGAGAAGAGAAATATTTTGATAAAATTACTTAGGTTGGTGAATTTAGTGCTAAGGTCTAAACTGTATTATGGTCAGTAATGTACTTCTTGTTCCTTCCTGCAGGAGATGTGCAGACTAGTTGAAGGCCCTTTTTCCTATTGGATCATGGTTTATGAAACTAAACCCCCCTTTGTAAGATCCAGAGATTAGTGTGTCTGGATCTAAGACTGTTTTTCTGTGCATTGGTATTTCTGGTGTTATCAGGCCTAGATTGTCAAAGAACAGAAGATGCTCTCATTTCTTAGAGTAGGAAGATGTGAAAGGATTTTATGATCACATAAATGGAAATGTAGGTTCCAAAAGTTGATATAAATATAACAATCAGGCATATAAACACAAATACAAATCTCTGTGTAGTGCTAAAGCAAACACTTAAAGGAAATTAAATGTTCTGTAATGGGATTGGGGTATGGGGTATCAGTTAAAATGTAGAATATTCATATAATTCACATCCATGGAGTTGAATTTTACACAGCCATTAAACATTACAACTCAGACTGTCAACATCTAAAAATGCTTGTGACATAATATGGAAAAATCAGAATATACATTTCCTACACACTGTGAATAAAGCTAAAAGTACTTATATTTATGATCTAAAAATAAGTAGTCCAAATGCAGGTAATTTTTTCTGTTTTACTTTTTATACTTTCAGAAATGTTGTTGTATAGCATTTGTAGGTAAAAAGAAATTAACCAGTTTTTAAAAAAATCAACTTCATTTTTCAGAGCAGTTTTAGGTTCATTAGCAAAATTGTGCTGAAGTTGTAAAGATTTCCCATATATCCCCAGCTCCCACACTTGCATGGCCTCCCTCATTATCAACATCCCTCACCAGAGAGGTCTATTTATTACAACGGATGAACCTTTAGTGATTAAGCAGTAACACTCAGAGTCCATATCCACTTTCTTTTAAAATGAAGTTGTCTGAATTTTGAAATTTCATCAGGGTTTCTTGGTCAGCAATCCAGAAATCTGGAGGCAGGGACTCTTTGATTCCTCCTAGAGGCCAGACTTGGTCAAATTGAACAAGTTGGGAGGTTTTTTCCAGTCAACCCTCCAGAAGACCTCTATACCCAGCTTACTTAGCCTCTGAACTCTATTCCCTCGCGGTCAGGGGATGGGATCTGCCTTTTTGGTTGTTATTGAGCAGTCCTATCTGCAGTGTTACGTCTGAAATTGTCTCCCTCCGTCTCTCTCTAGGGAGTGCATTTTCAACTGAACACCTCAAGCTTCAACTCCAGAAGGAATCCCTGAATGAATTGAGGAAGGAGTGTACTGCGAAAAGGTAAATGCAACACCGAGAATAATGGTTCAGAGTGATGGGTTTGCTTTGAGGATAGGATTTGGAAAAGTAGCATTCTTTAAAAGCTGCTGGTATTAATTTATATTCCATACATGTCAGTGTCACATTCATTTATTCAACAAATATTTATGAAGCACCTTCTCAGTGTCAGGCACATGCTAGAAGTAGTTATGAGAGCTCCTAGTGTATAGTCATAATCAGAAACGTGAACATTGTTCATCTAATTTTTAAGCCCACAGCACCATGACTTAATGTCTGAATCTTCTCCTCTTCTTATCTTCTACGTGTAGTGTAGCTTATTTTCTTCAGTCCTGTCTTCAGACTTACTCCTGTTTAGTGTTAGTCCACTGGGATTACTGCCACAGCTCCTAGCTTGTCTAACATCAGTCTCTCTGTCTTTCCAGTTCATCCTCCATGTTGCTTCTCAGACCTGTCCTCTTTTTTATTTTTATTTTTTTAAAGATTTTATTTATTTATTTGAGAGAGAGAGAGAGCGTGCACATGAGCAGGGGGAGGGGCAGAGGGAGAGGGAGAAGCAGACTCCCTGATGAATAGGGAGCCTGACGAGGGGCTTGATCCCAGGGCCCCGGGATCATGACCTGAGCCAAAGGCAGACGCTTAACCAACTAAGCCACCCTGGCGCCCCAGACCTCTCCTCTTAAAATACTAGTTTTACCATATTTCTTCTCCTCTTAAGGAGTCATGGTGATTATTTTGCTAAATTTTCAAATAATGTTCAATAAATTGGCGCTATACAACTGTAGCTAATTTCAGTCCTCCACAACATTCATTTAACAGATGCTAATAGTTTTTCTCTTTATTTTTTTCCAGCACATGCTTAATTTGATGCCACTTCTGTTCTTTTGCTCATGTTTACTCACTTTTTCTGGAAAGTCATCTCATCCTACATTTTTCTTCAAGAAACCTTAGCAGTTGAGCATTCAAGAATGTTAGACCTGGAAAGAACCGTGGAGATCATCTGGTCTAATCTTCTCAATTTGCAGATAGGAAGGCAAAGCTCTGGGAAGTTACTTTGTCCAGATCACGAGGAAAACAGGACTAGATCCCTTTAGGTCTTTAGTGCTCTTTGTGTTTCCTACTACTTTTACATTCCACTTTGACCTACAGTTTTTCTGAATCCCTCTTTTTCTTAAATCGTTAACACAGTTGAGCAGGTAATTTATCCTATAGGTGTTTTATCTCTGGGTCTTATTTCTTTAGTTCAAGAGAAGAGCTACATCATCTCTTGCCACAACTTACTGTTTGTTCTTTTTATTGTTATTTTCCAAATATGGCAACAGGCTATTTTTTGAGGTAACTGTGAGTGAAAAAGAGAATACTTCTTTAAAATAATACCATATGGATATTTCCTGAAATCACATTGGCCTCAGATTAAATGAGACCCTAGTCTGCTTACTGAGCCTCTCTAAATTTTGTATCCTTGTTTGTAAAATGGGTGTAATGACATCAACCTAATAGAGTTGTTGTAATGATTAAATAAAGCCTTTTTTTTTTTAAAGATTTTATTTATTTATTTGGAAGAGAATGAGAGAGAGAGAGCACATGAGAGGGGGGAGGGTCAGAGGGAGAAGCAGATTCCCCGCTGAGCAGGGAGCCCGATGTGGGACTCGATCCAGGGACTCCAGGATTATGACCTGAGCCGAAGGCAGTCGCTTAACCAACTGAGCCACCCAGGCGCCCTAAATAAAGCCATTTGTAAAGTTCCTGGCATATAGTGGTAGGTGCTTAGTCAATGATTATTTTTACCCTTTTCATCTCTTAGCATGGTGCTAGACACACACAGTAGGCCTCAGTATATATTTATCTTGATTTATACTATTTAGAGATAGGTCAGAACTCATGTTAGCTATTATTCTTGACTCTACTTCTGAGTTTCTGTGGCCTACTGCAGGCCATTTAATCTTCCTCAATATCAGTTATGTGGAAATAAATGTTAGCATGAAAACATTTTTTTTTTTTTTTTTTTAACAAATGTGCTTTTTATCTTTCTTCATCAGAGAACTCTTTCTGAAGACTAATGCTCAGTTGACAATTCGTTGCAGG